CATATGGATTTGATCTGCTAGATCGGAATCAGGGTAGACAGTATGTTATGCTTTTATGATCCGTAAGGATTAGTATGTTAGTGACCTGCTAGGTCGGTACTCTAGTTACGAGAGGATTCTATGGTTGATGATCAGTGTGACAGATATGTTTGATGTTTGTATATGCCAATATATGATAGCTATGCGAACATGGTTATTTACTTGTTGGTTGGGTTGAGGCGGTCCTGCTTTGTGCTGAAGGCCAACATACCCTATGAGCGGTCTGGGGAGACTGCAGGCCTACGAGGCGGACCAGTCATGCCGAAGGCTCGGGATAGATTCAGATAGACTGTAGGCCCAGTAGGGCGGTCCAGTCAGGCTGATGGCCCAGTATGTATGTTGATTGATTGATTGATTGACTGATTGTTACTGACATGGTATTGTCAGTGTGGTATTGGTATTTTGGGGGTAGCTCACTAAGCCCTCGGGCTTACAGTTTTCAGTTTATTGTTTCAGGTACTTCAGGAGATCGTGGCAAGGCGAAGGCGTGACCGTACCGCTCCTCATCCTTATGATATGTTTATGGGACACTCTGATGGATATTGATTTGAAAACATTTTTGTAAACAATACTATTTGACTTTTATTTATGGTTGAAAAAGTTTAAATTTGGCGTAAAATTTTTGGATGTTACAGTTATATTTGGCTATAACTTTTATTATCAGTGAAATCTGTTATATTCAACTAGAATTATTATTGACAATGGTATTAGTTACATTCAACTATAACTGTTCATTACCCCTAACAGTCATAACTCATATGAATAGCTCGTTACAATATATAGACATAAAGAGTTATGATTTAACAATTATTTTAACTTACTTATCCTTGCAACAATAATTTGTTTTAAACTTTAATTATACCAACTTATTATTCCATATATCAATAACCTGCTAGTAATCTCAACAATACAAACTAAAGATGTGATACAACAAGGATCAACTATAACTTAAACTATACAAACTCACCCCCTTCAATCAATAATAACTATTAATAGTTTCATTAACACAATATTGTCATATTCTTCACTAAATATGAATAATAGTGTTATTCTCACAAATTTGACTACTATTACATATCAATTCATCAAAGGGGAAAAAAGGTTACTCACCTTGAAAATTTTCATGTATATGGAATTCCAACTCATGAAGTCTCTTAACTGCTCTTGTTTCATAAACTCTAATACTATCAAAATAACACATAATTTTTTGGTTATATAACTCAAGGTACAACTCATGTATTTATAAACTTGATTTAACACCTTTATCAAGTTCATAACATCCAATTTTATAGAAACTATGTATACTCCATAATATAGTTATCTACATGTCTTAATTGATTAACACATGAACTCAATATCATCTTATTTGTTATTTCACCATATTGTGTATCATATTTCAAAATATATGTCATTTATACATGACTTAATCCCTTGACTTAAGTTCCTTACCAAAGTTAATTATAATCCACGTACAACTTCTCTATATGTCATAGTTCATCAAGAAACATGCTCAATTTTACCTGATCACAATTTACCCAATTTAAGGTGAATCACCCTGTTCTTTACTTTCAAGAAAGCCACCACAACTTTAGCATAACAAGCTTGAAAACGTGATTACTACACTGACTAAATTACTATCATCAAGATTTTCATAACATATAAACATATGGAGCTTAGGGTTCATAAACCATCTTCCAATTCAATAATAAAAAATGAAATTCATTAAAGAGATTAGAGGGTTTAACTTTGATTGAAACAAGGATGATAAATTCTTTGATTTTCTCTATTTGTTTTTTTTTTCTTCAATATAAGCTCTAAAACCTCCAGAGTGCGTCCTCCTATGTTCTCTATATTGTATATATAAGAAATAAGGATAAAAAATGATTTCTTTATTTTTATATGATGATTCAATAAGTCGGCCTTGGCGCATTATTTTTCTCATACGCACACTCCACGCACTCGTTTAATGACGTCGCGTGTTACCTTCTTCCTTTTTTCAACTATGTACTCTCTTACCTACTTTAGATGACCATAAATTCCTCACAATGACTCTGTTTTAGCTGATACTTTCGCCCACGTACTTTAAGTTGTCTTGTATATACTCCAAATGTAATCATTTTACTCTTTTAAGTCTCACTTCCATAATCTAAAACACTGTCTAGCATTTAAATGAATACAAATGCAACAAATCTTCTCGAAACTACATAACCTTCCAACATGGTATTCCACCAACATATCTAAGGGTTAATATCACATAACCAACCCTTTTTTATGAATAACACCCTAGTTTATTCTTACACATTTACAAAATAAGGTGTTACATAAACCAACAGAAGCAAGCATACATATGTACTATATAACTCATGGTTTCACCATGTTACTTTTAAATCTGCCAAGCAGATGGAATAATCCATACGCATTATCTACTTTGCCTCATCTACATGTTACAAGGAACCATATGCCTTATCTAATTTGACTAGGAAACTAGCCGCCACTATGGCATTTGGGATCACCTTTGACGACTGTTGTTACCTACATGCCAACTAAGGTTAACTCACAGAGGATGAGAGAAATCATGATGCACTTCCACTAACCGTATAGTATAATTGTCATTGTCTTCCATTAATATAAATGCACTAGCTACCATTTATTTCCTGATCCATACTGATCACCCATAGTAGGCATCCAATGCTTTTATATAAAGCTATAATGAGAACTACCTCCTTGACTATTTTTGTTGTAGTGTCTTGGAGTCTCTACTTTGAACATGAAAGTAAAATATTACATTGACTGGAGTATACACACACTTTCACATATAGGTAGAATGAGGGTCACCTTAATGACTACATTCTCTTTAATGCCTTAGATATCCTACTTTCAACATGAAATATGAGTAATACATTTTTTTAGTTGGAGTTGCGGGTACATCCAACACTTTTACACAAATGCTAGGATAATGATTACCTTCATGACATGTACCAAACAACAACATGTTCTACATAGAAGCGTGGTCTATCTAGACCAAGACACACTTGCAAGGAACATTTGGACATTGTCAAGGGCCTCTAAATTTTGTTAATTTGTCCAATATCATTGATTGCAATCCAATCACATCAGACTATTGGATTTATTGGTATACAAACCATATGATAAGTTTTTAGGATGACTAATGACTACTTATCTCTTCCAGTGTAAAATAATTAGCTAAATGGCAACCATAATCAGCTGGCGGCGTAATGGTGTTAGGTCCATTACTTAGACCTAACTAACTCTTTCGAGTAAGAAACAAGTTATATCCACTACTTGTTATTGTCTAATCAGAGAGAAGTTTTATAAGCATTCCTTGTATCCTTATTCTCTCTCTGTGTCCCCTTTTTTATCCTTCATTGACCCTTTCATGTTCCCTCCTTTAGCTCTATAAATAGAGATCCTCCTCCACTATTTAGAGGATAGACAATAGAGAACTCCACATTAGAGTCTCATTCTCACATACAATTCTCTTCTCACATAGACGTTTCTCAAGATCCTAAAGAACTCATTTCCATTTAAACACAATATGACTTGATCGTGAGGGTTTGCTATGGGGGATCATCCCATGTGATAGCTCTAACGAGTCTCTTCTATTATTGTAGCTAGGAATCGAGTCGAGAACCAATCAACAACTCAAGGATCTAAGTCGTTCGATCCAAATGCACACCAAAAGACCCCACGAGCAGTTCTATGTTAGCATCAAATGACTAGCTATAATAGGTTTACATGTTACTTAACTTTTTTCTTTTTATAGTTTTGACCCAAGGTTTAATCTTATCTACGAATTTGATCCCATCTTTTCATTCAACTTCACCTCAACTTCTTTTACATCTTTGTTTCTAAATGTTTTTTTTACAAATTAATTTTTTATTAACAAAATTAGCTTTTTTGATTATTTATTTTAATTTTTAGAAGTTTATTTTCTAAATTTTTTTAAACAAGCAAAGATTGTAAAAAAAACATGTGAAAAATTGCAAAAATATTTAATAATTCTTAAAAAAACATGCAATAGTTTCTTTGTACAAAAACTAATTTGTAAGGAAACATTCGTAAAATAAAAAATAAAAAAAATGCATGAAAAAAATAGGTAAAAATCTAGAAGATCAATACATAAGAAAACACTAATTTGGAAAAACACGAGTTTAAAAGTTATAAATAAAAGTTGCTACAAATTTATAAAAAAAAATTGGTATTTATTATTATTATTATTATTACTATTATTATTATTAATTTTTTTTGGAACGGCAGAAAAAAATTGCTATTACAATAATAAAATTTAAATTTAAACAAAACTTATACCTGTAAACTTGTCTTGCTATAAATTGGTATGCTATAGAAAGACTTGTGACCAATTTGGAATAAGTTTTTCATACACAGTTATCTATGAGATGTTAAATTATGTAAAATAATCTTTTCGATATTTTGAAAATATATAGTTCGTTGGATATAAGTACTTTGTTAAGGTTTTGGCAATTGCAAGTTTGCACCTAGGTCCTTTCTTCTCCAACTTCTTTCTTTTATACATACAACCACAAAATTTTAGATATATAATATTTAAAATAATTTTTTTTTTTAAAAATCTACTCAAAAAAACAACTATTATATATCTACTTACTAAAACCAATTATTGAATATGATACATATCACATATTTGTCTATCTTGCACGATGGTTTGTGGGATAGTCATATATTTTGTGGAGAAATCAGTGTGCACGTAAGTGATGCATACATGTGGAATGAAGGGCTGTAAAAGATATGCAGCTCCATCTTCGTCTATAAAAGGGCTATTGATTAGACGATGGTATGCACATATATGAAATAAGTACGTGTTTCATACTATATAAAGAAAGATTCACTAGAATAAGAACTTCACCTTGTTATGTGTGTATGTACAACATCAATACTGAATAAGTGGATAGACTACAAAGGAAATGAAACCAGGTATTGCTACACGTTTAGAAATGAGAAAAGGTGCATGGACTGCTCATGAAGATACGCTTCTTAAGAAGTGTATTGAGAAATATGGGGAAGGGAAATGGCACCTTGTTCCTCTTAGAGCAGGTATAAAATTTCTTGTAACCTTTTTCGTGTTGCAAAACGTTCATATCCTAAATCTTTGTTGTGGTTTTTGAAAAAAAAGAAAAGAAGAACTACGAGTTTTGTTTTTATAAGTTTGTCCGATGTATTAATATTTTCATGTGACGTAGGTTTGCAGGGTTAAGCAGATGCAGAAAGACTTGTAGACTGCGATGATTGAATTATCTCAGGCCAAATATAAAAAGAGGAAATTTTGGTGAAGATGAAGTTGATCTCATATTAAGGCTTCACAAGCTATTAGGAAATAGGTAAGCTTCTTATTTATGGGTTGTTTGATATGTTTTTTATTAGTTCTAGTAAGAGGGCGAGTTAGATTTGTTCAGATTCAAACTCTTTGATGTTACATTGTTATAGCTCTTACTTAGATTTGGGGTTGTATATGACTAGTCAGACCTTAATCAATCAAATCCGATTCAATAAAAAACTGTCAAACACCTTCTTAGAGCATCCACAATGGTGAGTTCAATGCATTGTGGATGCCCTTAGTTTTATTAAATTATTTATGGCATGTAAAACTCATAAAAATAAAATTGAAATATAAATTTTAATTTTAATTTTAGATGGTCGTTGATTGCTGGAAGAATACCCGGAAGAACTGCTAATGATGTGAAGAACTACGGGAACACAAATATTCACCCTCGTTCCAAAAAACCGAAGAAAGAATTTAGTGATGCTAAACCGTTACAACACATCACAACAGCAGTTATTCAGCCAAAAACCACTTGCCTTCTTCAATACCCTAAACCAATGCATGGGTGACAACCCACATATTATGGCTAATGGAGGTAGTAGCCAAATAAGAACATCAAATGATGGTGATAACAACTTGAATATATCCTCAGGGGTAACCTCATCACTGAACATACTTGATGACAATAGTAAAAAGTATTTAGACGATTTATTTGATAACATTGAAAGGAAAGATGACAAATTCGGGTGGTTATTCGGTGGTTCTCCCGTGGCAGGACATGAATTAAATGTTGTTGAGCAAGAAGATGGCCAAAATCAGTTGATGGAATTTCCAATGGATGAAGTTGCGTGGAAGCTAATTATTGATTCTAATCGCATGTAATTTTCGAACGTCATTTTCAGTCATTTCAAGAAATAAACCAAATAAATAAACTATAAGTATAAAGTATTATTCACCAAATGTTACATGGACATTTTTATTCATTAGATGGGATGCAAGGTAGAAGTCTCCATTAATTATGTGCGGCATTAACTGCAGAGTTGATCATTGAAATGACCAAAAAAGTATATTGACGACGCTTTCCACTTAAATTCATTGAATGGTGTTTGGTCAAACACCCAGGAGCACACACGCTCTACCCTCTTTGGAGGTCACACCACCCCATCGGAAAACGCTGTCAGCATAACGTCATGTCAACTCTAGTACAAACCAACCACCAACCCACTAGACATTAGAAACGGCTACCACTCTATAATATTTTTTTTTTATTGTTTTAAACATTAATTTAAATAAAAAAACATAATTTAAAACATAAATAAATATTTTAAAAACATAGAAAAATAAAACCACATTTAATTAATTAAAAACATAAAAATTTAAAACCTAAATTACTAAAAAAACATAAAAATTTAAAACATAAAAGAAAAAAAAACAAATCCATTTCTTTTTAAATTTGATGTCAAAAAAATATGTAAAATGTATGTATCTATAAAGAGATTAAATTTAAAATTGAAAAAGATTTTTGTTTTTTTTTTATAATGCAACGGTCAGCAAAGAACTGGCAACGGTATAAAAAAAATACACTCAATCTCAACTCTGTCTTCGTCCGTCTTCACACTCACGTCACATCCAACCCACCAACCTTAGGGGTTGTCTTCACGCGTCTTTTGGTCGGATACATCAGCATCATGCATAACTTTGTATTGCCACTCGAATAGCCTAACTACTATAATTCAAAGCTATTTTAATTATTGATGTATTACACATCAGTTCATTTGTGTTGCTTAATGATAGAAAAACCATCGTAAAATAATGATAACAGTTATAATAGTTTTTTTTTTTTTTTTTTTTTTTTTTTTGAAACGCTGATTTTATCAAAGAAAGCAAAACAATAATAATAATAATAATAATAATAATAATATTATTATTATTATTATTATTATTATTTTTATGATCTTTTAATGTATATGTCGGTATATCTTTTTTATGTGTTTATATTTATGTATATGTCGATATAAATATAAGATTGTCAACATTTCGATGTAAATTTAGAAATTTCGTTCGTTAGTTAAAAAAAATTATTTGCTTTTTAATGTACGTCTCGGTATATATTTGACTTTGTCTATGTTTCGTTGTATTTTTTTTATGTTTTCATGCTTATTTTAATATATGTTTCCTACGTATGATCCAAATCATGTATATTACGTTTTTTATTAATTGATTTTTTTTTACATTTTCATATTTATTTATTTATTTTTTGTATGCTTCTTACGTATGAGTCTGGTCAAGTATAGTACATTGTTCATTATTTGAATTTTTGTTCGTTAACTTAAAAAAAAAAATCTTACTTGCTCATTTTTTATATACGTATCGGTCTAAATTCAATGAGTTCGGTCACATATAATACATTTATTCGACGGTATAAATAGGAGTTAGTCTGTGGTACCAATATTCTATATTTATCTACAAACAAAAGCAATGTTACCTAAATTTTGTCAATGCAATCGTCAAAATTCAACTAACAAACGGATTGGCCGCGCCGCAATGCATGGTAAGCAAGTTACTAATTTCAATTGAAGGTTATTGTATCAGGGATTTTAACATTAAACTCGTGAAGTTTGACAAATCTTATCGGTTTTATTTATGTGACAATCTCTTGTTCGTTTATGCCCAAAGTTCGCACATAAAAACCATATAAATATGTTTTTAGAAGTACAAATATGTATTTTGATGTTTTTTAGAAATATAAATATATTTTTTAGTATTAATTATTTTTTAGAATTATAAATACGTATATTTATATATCTAAAAATATATTAATTAAAAAACATGTTATATATATATATATAAAATACAAATTAAAACTCTATAGAAGTAAAAGTACATGTTTATCCCTTAAAAAAATGTAGCTACATTTCTAAAAAACGTAAAAATACATATTTATGCTTCTAAAATAAATACATATTTCTTCTTCTAAAAACATAAAAATACTTATTTATATTTTGTAGAAGTATAAATACGTGTTTGCACTTCTAAAAAAAATAAGTATTCTTCTAAAATATATTTAATTGAATATTTATACTTCTTACAATAAGTATTTATATTTTTATAGACATATAAATTTGTAATTTCACGTTTTAAATGTATAAGTACACTTTAAAGAAAAAACCCATTTTTTATTGATATACTCCTAGATACGTAAAAATATGTGTGTACAATTCTAAAAAAATATATTTATATTTTTAAAATTATAAAAATATGAATACATAAAATATTAAAAAAACATTCTTACGGTAAAAACATAAAAGATTTGTAATCTTATGATGTTTTCTTGCAAATTTGATTTCATTGAACCTAAAACCTTTTATTACTTGTAAGAAAAAAAAATTGGCGAAATTTAGGCATAAATGAATAAAGACAAAACCTCAAAAATGGTCTTATAGTTTTCGAAAATCTAGGATATTGTCTATAAGTTTAAAGAACTAGACAGTCATTTTGGTTTCAAAACTTTAAACAAATAGTTCCTATAGTTTCATAACTTTTAACAAATAGTCCTTCACCCACATAAAAAGACTTCTATATCCTTTCTATTTTTCATGACTAATTTTTTAATAAAAAAATTAAAAAAAATTAAAAAAAATGCACCCCATCCTCCGTACACTACCCCACTCCTTTTTCTTTTCTTCTTCACATTTTTTCTGCTTCCTGTTTGTCTAATCATAACGATGAGTTTTCCACAAGAATAAATAAAGGGGCCAAAGCAATGACGACAGCTACAATGATGAGAGACGGTGTCTTTGATTACAATTGGTCTGAAGAATATTTAATAGAAGAGGCGGTGTTGTGCGTGGTAGTAACAAACTTCATGGAGGTGCAAGATATGGTTGGTCGATCAGTGGGGATTGTGGTGTATAATATTTCTTTCTCGTGGATCAACCACAGTTGTTCCCCAAATGTCACAACCCCAGCCAGCGGCGAAATCACCAAGTTGTGCAACGTTAGAATGTTAGATCACAACTATAGATATACAACAACATACCAAATTATATCACATAATTATCACTTTCTACTTATTATGATAAAGAGTTTACAAAATTGTTCAAGGTACATATGAAGACAAAAACAAAATAAACCTTCAGGACACGGATACTTCTAGTTGCTCTCTCAAGGATATGCTCGCCACCACCAGCACTCATTCTCCTGAGAATACATGTGGTTTTTGAAAGGTCGACATAATGTTAAATAGTTCACAAGTTTGTATGTTTTAAAGTGTTTTGTAGGGTTTTTGTTGGGTTAAGAAGTGTTGCATCATTGGGCTTTTGGTCTAAGTCCATTGTTCTCACGGTACTGGGCCTGTCCAGCCGTGTTTCATTTATTAGGGTTTACTATATGTAGTGCATGCATGCACTGTATGTTAGGAAGTTGTTGATTTTTATCATTGTAACCCCACCACACCTCTACAGTAGCAATTCTTAATAGAGTTCTTCTGAGGTGTGGATTTTTAATCATTCGACATAAGTATTGATTCATCTTGTGTTCTTATTTACTTTGTGTTACTGTGTTACTTGTTAAGGATCTCATCAATCTTAAAGAATTTTATTCTCATCAATTGGTATCAGAGCAGGAGGCTGTGTAAATCATACGTATCTCTTCTGTTTGAAGAATATCTTTAGGGTTTCCGCTTTCATTGAATCTATTGAGCCGTCATTACTTCATTGACGTTGTTCATCGATCTCGATATCACCCTAATACCGCTTTACAAGTCTGATTCTTGACAGGTAAAAAAATCAAGTCATCATGTCTCACGACGACTCTCAAACCAATCCCATCAACATCTTTAACAGCATTGGTTCGACTACAAGGATTCCAATTTTGTATACTCACGAGTATGAGGTCTGGGCTCTTCACTTTGAAGATTATGTTCTTCGCTCAGAAGAAAACGGGTACTTGATCTGGGAGGCTATAACATTGGGTCCCTTCGTTCACTCTGGAACCAATAGAACCATAAAGACACAGAAAGAGTACAATCAGCTTAGGATCGATGTGAAGGATGTCCCTCAAGATGAGAAGGACAAACTGATTAACAACATAAAAGCTATGAGGATGATTAGATTCGCTTTACAATTTGACACTTTTCGTCTGGTGAGTTCGTGTAATACTGCAAATGAGATAAGACAGGCTTATGGAGTTATATTCCACCGATGAGGATCTCGAGAATTCCATTCAAAATCTTCTACTTTCGGAGTTTGGTGACTTCAAGAAAAAACCAGATGAAAGTCTCATTCACACATTCAATCGTTATAACCATCTTCTTAGTAAGACGATTAAGCATGGAATCGGAAGAGAGGTGATCGAGCAGAAGGTCACATTTATGAATGGCCTAAGACCAGAATGGATGTCGGTGGTTTCAACTGTTAAAGATCATGAACAATTTAAAACCTACTCGCTGGCGACGCTCGTGGAAATTCTCAAGTCACATGAAAGTGTTGTGACAAAGGAAACGAAGGTAGTCTCCGGAATGGGATCCTTGGCTCTTATCTCAAAGGGTAAGAATTTAGTTGAAGAAGAAGCAGAGTCAGATTTTTGTGAATGTGATTTGACTAATTAAGAATACACGTTGATGGTGTCTAACCCCAAGCGGTTCACTAGAAAGAAGTTCCCTACCGCCAAGAACCGAAACTGGCAGGGAAGCTATAGTTCGGAGAAAGCGAAAGACGAGTTCAAAAGCACTCCTAAAAAGGAAGAAGAGAAGAAGGAGAGCAAACTTGTTGGTGACTCAGGCTATGACTGTAATTATTGTCGTGGCAAAAACCATCTAGTGAAGGAATGCATGCTAAGGAGACTGAATTAGAAGAAAGAGGTTGAAGACGATGAAGCTTACT